GGGGGCTCCTGCTTGCTTTGTAGAGCAGGATGCCTGCAGCTGCAGTGGCCCCAGCAGTCCTCTCCCAACTCAGAAGGGGCAGGGCTCCCAATGGCTCCATGGAGTGTGAAGCCCCAGCTGCAGTTCCCAGCTGCAGCCCACATGATGGCAGCAGCCACTGCCATCATCATTCACTCTTTTTATAAAATACTTCAATACATGATGTGGTGGTGGTTGTTGTTGTTTTTGTTGTTGTTGTTGTTGTTTTGGCTAACTAGACTTTATTTCAAACAAAAATTAAAAATGAAAAATTGAGAGCTCTTTTCCCTGGATTTGGGAAAGGAGTCAGGGTAGGGAATTCCCCAATTCTCCTCTTCAAGGAGAACGACCAACCACTGCTCAATGAAATAAGAGAGGACACAGATGGAGAAACATTCCATGCTCATGGTTAGGAAGAATCGATATCATGAAAATGGCCATACTGCCCAAAGTAATTTATGGTTTCAACACTATCCCCTTCAAGCTACCAATGACCTTCTTAACAGAACTGGAAAAAAACCACCTTAAACTTCATATGGAACCAAAAGAGAGCCCACATAGCCAAGCCAATTCTAAGCACAAAGCAGGAGGCATCACGCTACCTGACTTCAAATAATACTGCAAGGCTACAGTAATCAAAACAGCATGGTACTGGTACCAAAACAGAGATATAGACCAATGGAACAGAAGAGAGGCCTCAGAAGCAATGCCACACATCTACAACCATCTGATCTTTGACAAACCTGACAAAAACAAGCAATGGGGAAAGGATTCCCTGTTTAATAAATGGTGTTGGGAAAACTGGCTAGCCATGTGCAGAAAGCAGAAACTGGGCCTGTTCCTGACACATTACACTAAAATTAACTCCAGATGGATTAAAGACTTAAACATAAGATCTAACACCATAAAAACCCTAGAAGAAAACCTAGGCAAAACCATTTAGGACATAGGCATAGGCAAGGACTTTATGACTAAAAAACCAAAAGCACTGGCAACAAAAGCCAAAATAGACGAATGGGACCTAATCAAACTCCACAGTTTCTAAAGAGCAAAAGAAGCAATCATTAGAGTGAACCAGCAACCAACAGAATGGGAAATAATTTTTGCAATCTACCCATGTGAAAAAGGGCCAATATCCAGAATCTACAAAGAACTAAAGCTATCCAGAATCTACAAAGAACTAAAGCAGATTTACGAGAAAAAAACAAACCCATTCAAAAGTGGGTGAAGGATATGAATAGACACTTTTCAAAAAAAGACATATATGAGGCCAAGAAACATAAAAAATAGCTCATAATCACTGGTCATTAGAGAAATGCAAATCAAAACTACATTGAGATACCATCTCATGCCAGTTAGAATGGCAATCATTAAAAAATCTGGAGACAACAGATGCTGAAGAGGATGTGGAGAAATAGGAACACTTTTACACTGTTGGTGGGAGTGTAAATTAGTTCAACCATTGTGAAAGGCAGTATTGCGATTCCTCAAGGACCTAGAAATACAATTTACATTTGACCCAGCAATCTCATTACTGGGTATATATCCAAGGATTATAAATTTTTGTTATAAGGACACATGCATACATATGTTCATTTCAGCACTGTTTATAATAGCAAAGACCTGGAACCAACCCAAATGCCCATTGACAGGACTAGACAGGGAAAATGTGGCACATATACACTGTGGAATACTATGCAGCCATAAAAAATGATGAGTTTGTGTCCTTTGTAGGGATATGGATGAATCTGGAAACCATCATTCTCAGCAAACTGACACAAGAAGAGAAAATCAAACACCGCATGTTTTCACTCATAGGCGGGTGTTGAACAATCAGAACACATGGACACAGGGAGGGGAGCATCACACACTGAGGTCTGTTGGGGGGAAACTAAGAAAGGGACAGCAGGCAGTGGGGAGTTGGGGAGGGATAACATGGGAATTAATGCCAGATATAGGTGATGGGGAGGAAGGCAGCAAACCACATTGCCATGTATGTACCTATGCAACAATGCTGCATGTTCTTCACGTGTGCCCCAAAACCTAAAACGCAATTATATATATATATATATATATATATATATATATATATATATAATCTTTTTTTTAAATACTTCAGTCACCTAAAATAGCTCTCTTAATATACACATATGCATATCTTTCATTTCTGGGTCTATTTATATTGACCTATTTTTCTTTCAGCTTTGTGTTATATTTTTCTGTTTCCTGGTATGTCCAGTGATAACTGGATCCAATATATTCTGAATGTTACATTTTTTTTTCTTTACACAGTGGTTTTGCTTTTTCTGGTCATTAATCTACGTGTGTATTGGTTTGATGCCTTTGAGATCTGTTTTTAAAGCCTTGGTAGGGCAGGTCTAGAATAGCCATCATTCTAAGTATAATCAACACTATAACTAAGGACTACATGATCCTTATATAGTCTCCACTTCGGCTGATGGGATTTCTAATATGTCTCTACCCTGTGTGAATTCTTTATCTCCCTGGTGCAGTTTCAAGTTGTGCATGTTATGGCCCACTACCCATAGACAATTTATGCAGATTTCTTGATTTGTTTTTTGATGGGCACCTAACTCTATTGTGAGACTCCTTTTCAAGATTTCTACCTACCTAAGTTTCCCCAAAGACCTATTTCCTTCTCTTTTTTTTTTTTTTTCTTATTTTTTTATTGCATTTTAGGTTTTTGGGTACTTGTGCAGAGCATGCAATGCAGTTGCATAGGTACACACATGGCAGCGTGTTCTCTTTGCTTTCACCCCTTCACCCACATTTGGCATTTCTCCCCAGGCTATCCCTCCCCACCTCCCCCTCCCACTGGCCCTCCCCTTTTCCCCCCAATAGACCCCAGTGTTTAGTACTCCCCTCTCTGTGTCCATGTGTTCTCATTTTTCATCACCCGCCTATGAGTGAGAATATGCGGTGTTTCATTTTCTGTTTTTGTGTCAGTTTGCTTGTGAGCAATGTTTAAGTGCTTTCTTCCCATGCCTGCAATTCAGATCACCCTCTAAGCAGGAAACCAAGCAAACCATAGTGTCACAGTGCTACTATTTTCTCCACAGCAACAGTTTCCACTTCCTTTTGTTAAATATATATGTGGTGTCACATATTGTATCTTTACTTTTATTAATTTATATGTAGAAGATAAATAAAATCTTTGATAAGATTTCATGGCCAAAAGAAGTAGTATTCAGGATTAGATTTATACTTAAAAAATTTTTGAGATTCATGTTATATTAGATTCCAATGGAAGAAATCTGACACTTTCACTTTTGGAGGATTTAGTTAGTTCAGCTCTTCAAAAAGAAGTATATGATAGCTTGGCATTTCTCTCTTTGCTTTTTAAAATCTGTATGTCACCAAGGAATTAGTAAATGTTAAATCCAATGGTGAAATATTAAAAATGACAACCATTTATAATCTTCAGTTTTCCACATATCAGTGTTCACTTTTTCCTGGCTTTCATCCTCGTGGAGCAGAGAATAACAAAAATAGTCCTGAAATAATTCCCACACTATTAGCATTGATGTAACACTGGGTATTTATATGTCTTCTCATCTCAGCATTGTCTTCTAACAGCCTCCAATCTAAAATGTCTACTCTTCCTCACCATCCTGACCCATCATTCTCTGTCATGACACTATGGTTGAAATCCTCAGGACATTCAAAGGAACTGGAAAGTATAAAATCAATTGTGTTCTTTATCTGTTTATCGTCTGGACACCCCCATCTCAGCTCCCCATAAGAACTGTGATGTTCTCGAGCTTATTCATTTCTGTAGCTCCAGTTCCCAGAGACGTGGTGAGATATATTAAGCACCTAATAATAATCTGGAATGAATCCATTATCTCTTTTTGTTTTCCTAAATTCACTTACATCTCTGAACTGCTTCTGAAGGAACTGGCGGGTTTAGCTATGAAAACAGTGTCTCTAAAGATAAGAAGGAAGTTTCACATCTAATAGAAACTGTTGATACATATAGATTCGGCCACAATGAAAATGCACCCACATTCTGAACTAACTGAATTGGTTTTGCTTAATATGTCTCTTAATCACACATCAAAATCCTTAATAAAAATTAATGAAGTACATTTGTTGTTAAAAATTGAATCTGTCAAATGAACCTGCTATGTCACTTTAGTAGAAGAAATCATCCAGAAAAGTATACTATTTCTAAATAGAATAAGATATTAAATAATGAATATGAGTAACAATAGCTAGCAACTGGAGAGTGGCATGGTCTCAGAGAAAGATTTTAATATCAGAGGAATCTTTCTGAAAATCTAGTTCCATTAGTTCCAAACAAATTAGAAACTTTAGAGATTACATTTTTAAAGAAGAGAATTCCAATGTTTTTTTGTAATTCACATACAGCTTTGGAAATATAGAAATAATATGTAAATATACTGTATACACCTTCACATTTTTCCAGGACCCTATTTTTTTTACATCCACTTTCTTAAGAGGCCAGAAAATATATTTATTTTAAAAGTACAGCATATTCAGATTTACATAACTTAGATTAAAACAGTATATAACTACTTTTGTTATTTGGAGATCAGTCATAAATGCAAGAACAGTTTTGCCTTCATTTCAAAAGCTGAAATTCTGCACAGAGATTGAGCCATAGAGGGCACTATTGTATTTACAATCTGCTGTAAGAAGCTTACAGATATGAAATTCAGGGAATTAACTCAATGGGATCAGTTACTTTCACTTTGTTTACAAGACTAAGGGAAAAAAAGTGTTTTTTGACAATTTGATATTCAAAATTCTGTTTTTTCTCTTCCATTATAGGAAAATCAGATTACTCTATCACTCTTAAATGGATATTACAGGATAGTGAAATAATAAAATGACTTTGTCATGAGACAAGTTAAAATCCACTTCTTTAGAAATGTTTAAGAATGCAATACATTGTTATTTCTTTTTAATTTTTAATTTTAGATGGAGTTTCACTCTTATTACCCAAGCTGGAGTGCAATGGCGTGATCTCGGCTCACCGCAACCTCCGTCTCCTGGGTTCAGGCAATTCTCCTGCCTCAGCCTCCTGAGTAGCTGGGATTACAGGCATGCGCCACCGTGCCCAGCTAATTTTTTGTATTTTTAGTAGAGATGGGTTTCCCCATGTTGACCAGGATGGTCTCGATCTCTTAACCTCGTGATCCACCCACCTCGGCCTCCCAAAGTGCTGGGATTACAGGCGTGAGCCACCACGCCCGGCCAATACATTGTTATTACTGTAGTCACCATGTTGTATGACGAATCGTTTGAATTTATTCCTCCTGTCTAACAGAAATGTTATGCCTTTTGACCAACACATTCAAATCTCCCCTGTCTTTTCAAAGCCACTGATAACTACCATTCCATTCTCTACTTCTGAGTTGCCTTTTAAAGGTGAAAAGTGACAGGTATGTGCAATGATGCATATGTTGATTAGCTTGATTTAGCCATTTCCCAATGTATATTTTTAAACATGTGTAAATAATAAATATATACAATTTTTATTTGTCAACTAGAAAATAACTGTGGGAAAAATCACAAATTATTAAAACAATCAGTAAGTGAGATTTATAATGCGTTTGGTAGTATACATTTTCCCTTCCTGGGGATGGCACATATTGGCCTCAATTTGTTTGTAACACTAATTTTTTGATGCGAGTATTTAAAATCTAGTGTCCTTTGAATAATATGAGTGTTCTTAATTCTCCTCAAGTCAAAATCATACCAAACTATTAATATTCAGCACAAGTTCCCAATTGCTCCCAAGTCATCTTGTACCTATAAATATAGTTTTTCTCTTGCTCCACTGAAATCAATCATCTCTCCTTTATTTCTCCACAGAGCATGTTCTATCATCCTCCAAAGTTATTTGTGAGAATGTGTCACCCTCTTGTCAGACATCTGAGAGCCACGCACATGCAGGCTAAGTCCGGAAGCCCCAGAACCCAGACCAGACAGTTTTCCATTATCTCAGGCTTAGGTAAAATCCCTTCCCTTGGGAGGCTGAGGCAGGAAGAGGTCAGGAGATTGAGATCACCCTGGCCAACATGGTGAAAACCCAACTCTACTAAAAATATAAAAATTAGCTGGGCATGGTGGCATGTGCCTGTAGTCCCAGCTACTTGGGAGACTGAGGCATGAGAATCACTTGAACCAGGGAGTCGGAGGCTGCAGTAAGTTGAGATCCCGCCAATGCACTCCAGCCTGGTGACAGAGTGACACTCTGTCTCAAAACAAAACAAAACGAAATTCCTTCCCAACCAAAGTCTCAGGCAAACTTAGTAAAGTGAAACAAGAATATAATTTGCACTTTTCTGTTTTTGGCACTCCATTACTCTTCCTCTGTGATCACACCTGGTGATCTCTCATCTCTCAACAGTTGTGTAACCTCCTACCCTGGCAATTTACCTGGGAAGGTCCTCTTTAAGTAAGACAAATATATCACCTTTCATTTCAACACTCTGAGACTGAAAGGGACACTAATAGAAACTGTGACAGGCATAAACCAGAACTGTCCTGGACACGCAAGATGTATCGTCATCCCATCTAGTGAAAAACTACGAATCTGAAGTATAGCCTTATTAGCCTTTTCAAATAGTATCTCAGAATCAGTCCTCGGAAAACGAAGGCTCAAGAGTCAGACAGAAATGAGCTCGAACTCACTTCTACTACTCATGGCCTGCAAAATAATTTAAAACCTTCCAAGAGCAGTTATCTCATCTCCAAACTTTGGACTCTACCACCCTCCTGAGAAGAAACTCTGAGGTCGTTGTGAAGACTAAACTTGTTCATGTAAGTGAAAGCAACTGTACACAGTATGTGGGTGATCGAACTTAATGCCATTGCTTGTTACTTCTGTTCATGCCACATTTTCTGTTACCAAGTAAACATATTTTCCTTACACATTGTTGTTCATTTTTACATTTTTTTGGGAAATAGCATAGTATCTGTCAGCATTCAAAATGTATAAAATTACCATGGTTATTTCTATTCTACAAATTTTTTTTCTTGGATTCCTTGAGAGATTGCTGTTGCTCATATCTGTCTTGTTTTGATGGTTCAAAGTAGGCTTATCTGTTCTTTCTCTCTCCTTATACTCTAAAGAATATTTGCAGTTAAAATATTGAGAGACGGAATGTCTTTCCACTGTGCAAAATCTATAAGGCATCTGTTACACAGGTGTCTAGTGACAAAAAATGAGAAACAACTCCTCTTCCATCAAGTTGAAAATGGTTAAATAATTAGTGGTAGCTTAATATCATTTAATATTACATAGTTTTTAAAATGGAATCATTTAAACAATACATCATGTATATGACTCTGGTAAATATTAGAGATGTAAAAGACAAAATAAAGTTGTAGTTTAAGTATATCCAGTGAGAGATATTTTTGAAAAGAGAAAGGAAATACAAAAGAAAATGAGTGCATTTTAATGAAAATAGTAGAATTGGTTATTTAGAAATCAAAGAGCAAATTCCAAGGAATTAAAATTATACAGTGATTAGTATTTTTATAGATTTCCATATTGGTTAAACTATAAAAATAAGCACAATCTACTTGTATAATTTCAGAAATTAAAGTCCACATGTAAAAATTATAACATTTTATTTATAAAGTTTAATTTTGACACAAACTCTTATAAACCAAGCATTATCTGATTTTTATATTTTTAAATATTTTTACTTAAGTTCATGTATGCTGAGTTGTGAAATAAATGAAAAAATTATGACAAATTACCGTCTCCCTTGTCTATTCAAATGTTGCCATTTAAGGTTAAATGTATGCATTCTAAATATTATATAATTAATCTTAAACTATTTATTTGTATTTTTTGAAATTCCATATTTCTTTTTTTATGGATATTTTGAATCACATATTTCCTTTAATTAAATATATTTAACACTTTATGATTCTAATGAAAATTATAAATCCATTTTTGGCATAAGACCAAAAAGATTGCATGTCTCATTCAAAACAAGAAACTGCGCAAAAGAGGTGATTTCTATTCTTTGTCATTTTCTTTTTTTGCTAAATCTGTTTTACGTACTAATTAGAGTCTCCAGAGACATAATTTTACTTTTCTGAGGTGGAGAGTCATAATTAAATATTGTATTCAGCATCTACAATTATTACAGAGTCTTCAAAATCCAAGTTCAGGCGAGATATTAGAAAACAAAACTGAGGCTCAAAACCAAATTTAGCAGAAAATGATTTTGTAATCATAGAATAGAATTCTGAATGAAACAAATATTATATTTCAGTGAGCTTCACTTTTCTGGCAATCTCTTATTACTAAAATTCCCACAAACCATTTTCAACCTTAAGAATGCAGTATTTTCAATTTGGGGAACAATGAGTAGACATCACTTTTCTTAATGACCTACTCAGTTCTAGGCACTCCTGAGGATTTTTTAAGCAGAATGTTTCACAGTGAAAACAACGAGATTGGAGACTACTGGGGCCTAATTTGGACTGGGCATGCATATGTACACATATGCCGAATCAGTAAGGACACTTCGTTTTCCTCACATCCACGTTCACTTCATCAGGAACATACCAACTGATTAAAATGTCCATCCTATGTACCTCCACTTTTCTAAATCCTCAACCACAAGAGATCAATTCTTTCTTGCATGAACTTAGCTCATCATTCATAGTGTCTTGTAATTTTTAATTTTAATGACTATTTCTCTTCCTAGATTGCTAGAATTATAATGTATTTTTTAAAAAATCTTCATATCGAATACATTAGTTCAGTGGCTACTCCCCTCAAAGGAGCAAGGAGAAACATATATGCCAGGAGAGAGAGATATATACCCCAAGAGATGTACATATACATTTATATATATATATAATGATACCAGGAGAGACATATAAGCAAGGAGAAACATGTATGCCAGGAGAGAGATATATATCCCAAGAGATGCACATATACATTTATATATATATAATGATACCAGGAGAGACATATATATATATATATATATATATATATATATATATATATATAATGATACCAGGAGAGACATATAAGCAAGGAGAAACATATATGCCAGGAGAGACTGATATGTCAGGAGAGATAGATATATAACCCAGGAGAGACAGACACATATGCCCGGAGAGACATACAAGCCAGGAAAGACAGATATGCCAAGAAAGACATATATGCCAGGAGAGATATATATGCCAGGTATGGTTTTTCCTTTTCTGATGACAGGGCATTCATCAGCACCACTCTCAGAGAAGATTTTGTTGTAGTTAACACAGGACTCCGCAGAACATTGTCTCAGGCTGAATAACTCACTTTATGTAGCAAAGGAGGCGCAGTAGGATGCAACCATGGGATCCAAGTTCACATCATCCATTTGCATAACTAAGCAGCTCCCAGCCTATAATGTAGCAATGGAAAAACCTGGTGGAGGCCCTGCCGAGGGGCAGCTAAGAGTTACACCCTGTGATGACAGAGCAGCAGCATCCTTCAGGAGAAAGTATCCAGCAAAACCCAGCAACCCTCCTATGGTACATTGTCACCATTACATAGAATACATGGGTTCAGGAAGCATGGGATATAAGGGGCCCACTTACTCTCACTCTCAGAACCACTAGGGATTTTCTGCTTCCCGCTTCACAGCTTGGTCTTTGCAGGCTCAGAGTTCCTAGTTCCCAAAGAGAAACTGCTTTAATCAAGGCACACAGCAGGATACCCATTAAACTGCAGCTGTTTTCTGGTTACTTCAAGCTTCTTATGCCATAAAACCCAGAAGCAAAGAAAGGATTAACCATCCTGGCAATTAGATCATCAGGAGAAGGTAAAATGGGAGAAGGGAATAATATGCTTAGCATCTAGGCAATACCATGGGTTACCTCTTTCAACTCCCTTGCTGGAATTTGACGGTAAATGGACAAGGGCAGCAGCCACAGTGTGCTAAGGGCTTTGTGAACAGGATTTCAGAGGCTTAATGAAGATCTGGGCTGCTGCATCAGGTCAAGAGAATTGTCTGCTGTGAGTGAAAGGAATCTAGATTCGAAGGAGTTGATGAATGATGGCCGTGAGATTGGCTTCAGAACATACCAGTATGACTCTTGTAAGACTCCGAAGAAATGAGACCAACTGGAGTCCTAGAGAAACTATTTTTAGATACTGTAACCTTATCATACAAAGCAAGTGGATCTGAGTGGTACAAGAGATCATCTGGAGAGAACAGTGGGGCACGCTGGCTCCCAGCTGCTGGAGTGTTTGCAGCTAATGGCTTACAGCTGAGTCATTTTGGCCAGACAGTGCTGCTTTACTCAAGCTCACCCACTTCCTGAGATTAGGGGTGCAAGAAAGCCCATACACAATGACTGGTAGAGACAAGGATACAGAATACTAGTCCTATTGTCCCAACTCCGATTCCTCCTTGGCATTTGCCGAGGCTTTTGTTGTGACCACATTGCAGTTAATCTTCTCCCTCTAACCATTGCTCTTTCCTTCACTCCTTCACAGATGTTATTCCACAAAGTGATCTCCCATAACCTTCCCACACTTATTTTTCAGTTTTATAACCCACTTTCCAGGAAACTCCACCTCAGATAGGATCTTTCCCTGATTTGGTTAAATTTGTAAAGTAATCAATAAGCATACACTACACACTCTGTCATGTGGGTTACCTAAAATAAAAAGCAATGTGATTTTCTTCTCAAGGAATTTATAAACTTATTATGGAGATAAATAATAATAGTTGCAGCAGTCTTATATCACGTGTTTAAATGCAAACGTGAGTAGCACAGATTACATTGACATTACAATTCTGAATAAGGCATTCAAGTTAGATGATGTATTAGTCCATTTGCATGCAGCTTAATAAAGACATACCCAAGACTGGGTAATTTATACAAGGAAGAGATTTAATGGACTCACAGTTCCACATGGCTGGGGAGGCCTCACAATCATGGTGGAAGGCAAGGAGGAACAAGTCACCTCCTAAGTGGACGGCAGCAGGCAGAAAGAGCTTGGCGGGGAAACTCCCCCTTATAAAACCATCAGATCTCGTGAGACTTATTCACTGTCACGAGAACAGCACAGGAAAGACCTGCCCCCATGATTCAATTACCTCCTACTGGGTCCTTACCACAACACGTGGGAATTACAGGAGCTTAAATTCAAGATGAGATTTGGGTGAGGATACAGGCAAACCACATCAGATGGCAATGATCTAAATTACTCTTCCATCACTTAGTAGATATGTAAATGACTCAAAGAAGTTCTTGACCTCTTTGAGACTCAGTTTCTTCAACCTCAAATTGGGGATTGAGAATATGAACTACTTCTAAAGACTGTTATGAAGAGCAAATACATTAAAATATGTGAAGCAGTTGAAATGTGTCTAACCTGTAGTAATTGGTCTGAAGTATTAATTGTTACTGTCATCACTATGACCTAAAATGAACAAGAAAAACTATTCAAACAAGGAGGGTTTGCACTAGGATTTGAATGACAGCAAATAATTATAACTTACAGTTCAAAAGTGCTTTCTTCTTTCTCAAGAACTTTCCTACACATTGCCTCATTTCATCTTAATAACATGTCAGAAAGGAAAATATCAATTTCATTTTGCAAGTTGTAAAATTAAAATAGGAAGGAGTCAATATTTCTAGGGCAAAGTTATTCTTGATAAAGTAGTAGAAGCAAAAAAATAAAAGTAAAAGACCTTAAGGCACACCATTTAGGAAGATAAAACTATATACAATATACAAGAAAACAAACAGAAATCAATTAGTGAGAAATCAGCCTGAATACGTAAGCTGAGGTC